ACCCTAAACCCTAAACCGTGAAAGGCTTTCAATTGACGGAGATTGGAGTCCCAGGTGATCTTTTTCAAGGACCTTCCCCAAGACGCCATGGAAGCAAGCAGCCCAACAGCCAAAGGCAGCGAATTCGGGCAAACATGGGTTATTAGTTTANNGGTTGATGGTTCAGGGCTTAAAGGGACGATAGGCTTCCGCAAATTTCTCCGAATATGGACATAACGCGGTTTATGATGCTGAAAGCCTTCTGGGTGTTGAAGTTCTCCTGTACTTCTGGACCGAATCTTGCTGACCAGGAAGGCTAGTTGAAGAACATACCCAGCCTACACTCCATCGTAACCTCGTTCCGTTACACAACCCAAGTGCTAGTCGTCTATACCGCAACAGGCCTGACACTAAATCCCAAACCGGAGACCCTAAGCCGAAACCTTGAATTCTAGACCATGTAAGTGTAGGTTTGGGTAAACCCGAAGTCTTGACCTAAACCTGGCTCCAAACTCAAAACCCCAGACCCCAAACCTACGGTTTAGGGCTTAGGGCTTGGAGGTTTGGGTTTCGAGGTTTCGAGGTTTAGGGTTTAGGGTTTCGACGCCCAAGAAGCACTTCGGAGCCTCGTATGGAACCGTTGTGGAAGGGTTTAGGGTTTAGGGTTTAGGGTTTAGGGTTTAGGGCTTTGGGTGTAGGGTTTAGGGAACCCCGGTGGAGAACTTCCAGATGGAAGCATTGAAACAGCACGTCCGGCACACCAAAGAGCTGTGTGCTCTACAGTTCTATACTTCAAGAACCCCACAGCTTTACAAAAACCTAGCATGCTTAGTTACGCCGCGCGGCTGTTGGTTACGCCCCAAAAGTGCGCGGTTACGCCGCGTACCTTCGCCCAGGTTGCCTGTTAGAGACAAGATAAGTTCGGTTTTTACCACAGGGGGTTTAACCGCCAAGAAGCTTTGCGCGTGCACCGCCAAGGACTTATGTGGCTCCATGACAGATCTTTTTTTGCACACATGCACTACTAACCATAGCACTGCAACTTTTAA